AATAAAATGAGAAGCCCATGTATGGTCCTATAGCTAACTATTTGCACTACTACGGTAATAGTTGATGCGCGGCTGGTGGCATTGATATTTTCGTACAGAAGGGAATGATTTTCCACGCATGCCTCTACATTTAACGCACTAAGCTGCACTTTGCGCACTTTGAGAAAATACTGCAAAATGCTGTATCTTAATGGATAATAATAATAATAGAATATTATGAAACAAGTTTGACAAGCGCCACTTTAGTAACAAGTTTATAATAAAGGGTTTCCAAACATATTAAAATCCTGAAGATCAATGAAGCACCAAATAATATCAAACAAATATAGCAAAACGATTAATTAGAAAATCTTAAAAAGACGCTAGCAAACAGAGACTTAAAAAGGAAATTTGGAACTTCAAAAAATAAGAAGAAACAAAAAAAATTAATAAAAAAAACAGACTGTATGGGGGACAGAACCAATAAACTCTCAACTAAGAATGAGAAGAAATGGCAAGCATATTTAGGGGAAAACGCAGCGAAGTTATGAACTTTACTAAAAACATTATAAAATGAAAGTGAAAAATATGATACAGTCGAAACAAGAAACACGAATTTGGAAATAGATTAGACTCGGAGAGCAAAACCAATCAAAAGCTGCTCTACAGAATCTGAAACGTCTTCGAGGCAATAAAATAGTAGAGAGTACCGGAAATCAAATAAATACTAAAATGGCAAAAGAGGGAGAAGGTAAACAAACAAAATAAATTGTAGAGCAAGAAGAGACAGAACAAAATGAAGAGTTTATGGTGGAAGAAGAATTTTTTACTGCAATTAAACAGCTAAAAACTGCAAGTCGCTAAGTGGCTAAGTTTCATTTATTGTTTTTTTCAATATTGGGTAATAAAAGTTTAACTATTATTATTATTATTATAATTTAATACCTCCAAAATTCGTCGAAGATAGTTGTAGGGAAATAGTCTCTAAAAATTACCTCCATGAATCGCCCTGTATACACGCTTATTTTGTCTTACAGAAATTAAGTATCATCGTTACAAGTAACCTTCGATTACTACTGAACCGTAAATTAGTAATAAAAAACAGTGTATGTTCATTAAAGCCAGCGATTCCTGAAACAAATTAATGAACGAAAAAATGAGTTTGTAATATCTGTCGTCATTAAATTGTACCAGGCAATCCCCTATAATGTTGCCCCTCGCCCCAAACTTATTAATTTTAAGTGTCTTAAAAAAATTAAAATTATGACCGGGTTGTGCGGTTAGCTACTGGGTGCTGGGAAAATTAAATTTAGTATTGCTAAAGACATGCTCAGAATATTGAACTAAATAGGAAATAAACACAAGAACTGCGAACCTTCAAAGAAAGTCTCAAAAAATTGCTATGAGGGAAGATTTGGATTCTGAAAATTCAGTAAATTTTTTAATTTTTGGAGTAACATTTTGATGAATATTTTTTTTTTACAACTTTTGATAAGTGTTATAAAGATTAGCAACATTGCGGTTTTTAGTAGACAAGAGACAACGCCCACAAACATGATTTTGCTGACTCGAACCAAGAATGGAAACAAATTCAGGACGAAATAAAGGCTGGCGAAAAATTTTAAAACGAAATACTCAAGCTAATGCAACTCAAAAGAACATTTAAAAACAAAAACGTACTAGAATGCAGTACCAGAAAGAGAGAAGGAAATTGGATGGAAAAAAATAGTCAGAGATAGAACAAGCATAAAACAAATGAAGCAAAATATATAACAAACGTGAACAGTATTAGCAGACTCGTTTGACAAAGTGCAACATGTCAAACTTATTGAGAGACTACGTAATACGAATATGGCTGGAAAAGACATCCGTCTAATAGCAGGCGTGTACTCGAACCAAACCCTATGCGTTAGCACTCACGTGAATATTCTCATCCAGGAAGGGATACGACAGGACTGTATATTGTCTCCATGATTGTATTACTTGTGCATCTTTACTTAGAAAAACTTATTGGTGAAGGCATTAGAGTAGGAGGAGAAACAATGGAAAATATACGATATGCTGATGATACTGTCCTCCTAGCCGAAAATATTGAAGCTCTCCACGAACTACATAACCGAATAAAAAGGAAGTAATCAAGATCTAAGACAAGAAATCTTATAAATGAGATCGAAATATCATGGACCCGTCACACATCGTGAATTGCACCGGACAGACATCAGTACCAAAACCTAATAACCAAAGCAGTCGCCAGAAAAAAGAAAAAGCTTCCCGACAGCTTCGATTATTCTATTATTAATCGAACAATAAATTACTATCTACAAATTTTCTGGATTCGTCGTGCCTTGGTTGTTGATGTTGATGAATCGAATTTCCTGCCATTTCGCCCATCATCTTGAAATTTGTTTACATCCTACTCTGTACCTGCTGACATACTGTTTGAGGAGCCTGGGCATGCTATTATTTCTTCTACTAAAGAAAAAAAACAAGAATCCCTAAACAAGTAAATAATCTTGGAAAAAAAATCCCTAATCAGTTTTCCAAATTTGTTTACCCATGGAAAAAAGAATTCTTCATTACCTGTTTAACCATAATTTTAACTTTTTGAAGACTTAAAATAAAAAAGTTTAATGGTTGTAAGCGGGGGGGTTGGGAGGGGAGGTCAAAATTATTTATGAGGGGCCGAGGGATATGAGCCAACAATGTAACGAGATAGAGATTTAATCTGTCGCATGTTATAAATCTTTATAAATTTATTAACGTAACTGCATTCCGGTAAATAAGAGAAAGTATTTGAACGTTAATAAATTGTGATATAAAAAGTGCGTTTCCGTACATACAGGGTTTTTAGAAAAATGGATTTAAATGTGAAAGAAAAGTTATAATTTATATAAAAATTGTCAGCAATCACATCTTTACTGAGACACAGCTTACGAAAATTATCATTTGAATATGGATAAATTAAATTTATTTTGTTACCATGACAGATGCCTATCTAGTATTTACAACAATTGTAGATTTGTTTTAATTATTTTAGAAGTCTAATTTCTGAGAACGTAATTGAATGGGCGAATAGAACAATAAATAACGTTAGTTTATAAACCTGTGTCCCGAAATGCCCCCTTTAGGAGATTTATTTTTTATTACTTCTGAAACGGTTTAAGATACCTGAATGAAATTTAGTCTGGAAATATCTTTGATCGGATTATAAAAAAAATAATTTGCAATATTTTTACTGCATAGTTGTTTCTTCTGTTGTTACTTGCTAAAATCTAAAATTTATGCAAACTGTAACTTTTTTTGACTTTCGACAAGACTACCATTTTTGATGACTAATTGTCATTTATATATTTTAAATCGTTCCAGAAATAATAAAAAAAAACTATTTCTATTTCTTGGGATTTCTTTTATGCGATGCAGAAATATTTAATTAAAAATTACGTAGGCAATAGAAACTTTGAGCTCTAAAATTATAAAAATAAAGGAGAATCTTAACATGTCTGGTACTAAACAGTACAGTAGCTATTGTATATTAAGGACAATAACTTTGCGAATATTGTTCAAAATTTGCACTGTTTTATGCACATTCCACTACGTCAGTGTTGAGTAACTGATCCTTCCCATTGCCGGGCATCGACAGAATATATGCTCCGTCTTTTCCTCATCGTCCATGCACTAGTTTTCACCCGCAAGGTGGATTTTGTGCAAGGTCTGTCATGCTGATGCCTAAGAGGGTATCATTTCTGCTGTGAGATTGTTATTGGTAATCGTAGCCAATATACTTCCCCAGATGTAATCCATTAGCTGCCTTCTTTGCTAAAAGGTTTTTCTTTTTTCTTAAGGCCACAGTGTCCATGTAGCCAGTGCTATTGCATTTCGGATTCCTAACATGGATACAGCTTCTTGGCTTCTTAAGGATTTTGGAGCTTTTATCTGCTCTTATACCTCTGTGTAAATTGCCTTTCTACTAGATTTCTTGCAGAGCGCTCAATGACGTGCACTTAGAACATGTACCAAGTCCAATTTTTTACGTCTTTGAATGTTAGTCATAGATACCAACCCCAATGCCCTTAATGGTTCTGGAACCGTCTATGAGCTAACGCAGTAGGTCAGTCTTGTTCTGAACTTATTTGTTCCGGCTTCTTAGTTAAGGTAGGTGCTATGTTTGATGGTATCTTCGAAATATTGTGGTTTATGTTTTTTATTCTCAGTCCTCATTTTTTGAGGCTAATTTTCTTTCACTGTACACGAACAATACAAGTTTTTACCTATTATCACCTGCATTGCTTCTATTACAAAGCAATGGATCTAATTCCTAATGATTTACTTCAGTGGTTGTGGCAGCAGAATCTGGCTAACGCAACGCTTGCGGAAAGTATCTATCTTCCCATGGTTTACTGTTACAGAAGGTAGACTTTGTAATCTCGTTTATGAGCTCATAAATTGGTCTCAATCTATTTTTGATTTTTTGCTTGTGTTAGAAAAGGTAAGGCGATTGATCAAACATTTCCTTCAACATTTATAATGCCAGCAATAACTAACCAAAAGTACCTGTATAATCAAGAATGTAATGAAATCTACATGTTTGGTTTCGGTTTGCCTTTTTGTTATGAGTAGTTATGTGAAAAAAGACAGAAAAGATTATTGACTTTTACGCTCGCACCTGCAGTTGCAATTTTGCTAAATACTTTCAGGGAATTTATTTGTAATATGTTGTCGCATAACCTAAAAAAAAAGCTGGCACTTTTTTAGGATATTGGTGGTATTTGCTCTTGTGGGGTGCAATATTTAATTGCTGTTGCGGTGCATATGATATAATATCAAGTCATCAACTCATTTTTATTGAGAACTTGTTCATGGGAATCTATGACCTTTTTTACCGTATCAAATTAGACGTCGCAGGTCGAGTGAGTTAACCCCGTAACTTGTATAAATATAACCGCAGATTTTTATGAAAACAATATGGAATAAAAAACAAAACAAAACAAAATTGTTTTACAGTTGTTTTTCATTTTTTTCAGGACGGAAAGGCGGTATGCCTGCTCTGCGCCTGTTTGGCAGGAAATGGTTAGCCGCTTCGGACGATCTGGTATTTCCCGGACTTTTCGAAATATTTTTAAGGATAATATGGTAAGGGATTATGCAGAGTGATAAGGAAAATGAATTTATTTAGTATTCTGATGTACGCTTTGGTTACTTAATAATTTACGTTTAAATAGTTTATTATTATTTGAAAACTATTCTTATTTATGTGGCTTTAGATATTGCGAATTAGAGTTTTACCCTTTTTGTAAACACTTGTATCATGTTTTCTTTGTAATATGTACCGATAATATTTATTTTATTTATTTTTATAATTTAATAATTTAAATATCTAAAAGCTGTTTATAAGAAACCTTAGTATTTATAGTTTTGAATTGATTTTCCCGTTATTTTTTTTTAGTTTTATAAGGCTTACGAAGGGCTTTATTATTACCTGTTTATTTTAGTTTTATTTTAAGAGCAATATTGCTCTATACCTAGGTTGCTGTTATAAAATTTTGCAAGGTGTTTAATATTACTTTTATATTACTTGAAAAGTAAATTTTATTGGACAAATAAATAACTCGCAGGTGTTTACCAAAATTTCATTTTAAAGTGCTCATAACGAGGACGCTTTACTTTTTGTAAGGGTAAAATTTATTTCATATCGAAATTAAGCTAAATTTCAGAGTATTTGGTTTATAATATTTAAACAAGGCATTTTCTTAACTTAAGGGTAAAAACAAATTACAATGACAAGGACACAAACTAAATATATTGCAAAAAAATGTTATGGAAAAATATGAATTGAAGCTTATAATAGACAAATCGACAAATAATAACTTTTATAACATATTTAGGTAAATTTTATAGCGGTAACCAGAATGTATTCCTGGCCGTTACAAAACTTATCTGGTCTTTATAAAGGTAGCAACAACCTCTTATTTACAAATCAATGGAGGAGTAAAGGTTTTATGTGGCACTAAAATTTGATCACCGTTGTCCATGTAAGTGCTATAGGGGTTTTATAAGAGAAACGAAAACATTTCGCGAAATATAGGTTCTCAGGCGTTTTAAAATAGGTAATCGAAACACAACCAAACGAAAGGTGTTAGTTTTGGTCAGTTTACAGAATTTTGGAGTGCCTTTAATTCGATGTATTAAAAACAATGTTTAAAAATTGCAGAAGGTATTTAAAAAAAGATCGAAATTTTTGAAAAACGCCCGCCATTTTGTTTCTTAACTGTAAGGGAACGAGACAAGACAATGTCCACTGATCTAAGTAAAAAAAATTAATCAAATTTTTACAATATAAAACGTATTTGTCCATGTATGTATATATACTTTTATTAGAAATACGGAAATAGTTTGACTAGAACAATTTGAATTATTATTAGATCTTCTATCTATCTGGGCATTCACATGACTCAGCACTTTCTCAAAACGTTATGCTCAAATAATGCCAAAACTCCCTTTTTTGCATCCTTTTGAAACTCTTTTTAAACTAATTTTAACCACACTTTATTTTTGATTTCTAGCCAAGGCTTGACCAACCACCCTCTTTTGATTTAAGGTAAAAAATTATCAACAGTAATAATAAGTGCAAACGCAGGGTTTATTTTTCTTATTCTTGAATAATTTTTATTGTTCTGTAGAACAGCGCTTATTCAAAACAATAAAATCAGTCAAAAATTACCTCTAAATGAATTGACGAGGCTCTTTCCCAATGTAAAGCCAGTGTGGTTCGTCAAGAACTTCATGGAGAAATTAATTAGTTACTTCACGAATGTATTGTCAGTGGAATACTAGTATAATAGATTTGTTTTTATTCAAAAACGGGTGTTTTAAGATTCTGATGCATTGTTTGTTAAATGGCATACTACTGGTAAAGATAACTTTTGGATGTTTTTAGGTAAGTTTTAAAAGATAAGTTTTAAAGTGTTATCTGCTTGAAGTTTGTAAAAAATATAATTCGATATTGGGTGGGAGGAAAATTAAATTAAAGTAAGATAAAGTAAGGCGGTTCCACCAGTTTGACGATGATACTGATTTCGTCATGTCTAACTGAAATAAGAGTCGCTAACATGAAAAAAATGTTACTAGGCCTTATTCGTACATTGATTTGATTGAGTATGATCTAGAAGTTATAGGAGGAAGAGCTTATTATTAGTGTAGATGTTTGGTAACATAAAAAATGTTACTAAGCCTTACCCATACATTGACTTGAGTATAATCTAGAGTTAGAGAAGGAAAAGTTTCTGACTTTATCCTGGAGATGACGGCAATAATTACTAAAAGCTACTATTAGTTGTGCACCTCGTGGTTTTTCTTTAAGAGTTGTTTGAGTGAGTTTTTGCATGTGGAGTCTGCACCGTCATTTGCCACAGTTAAATTTTGGGCAGCTGAATTTAAACGTGACCATAATAGCTTAGAAGATGATGAACGTTCAGGACTTCCAAAAACTGTAACTATCGATGATAATATTGCTGAAGTTCATCGAATGGTGTTAAACGATCGTCTCATATTTTAGTGGTTGCCATGGCGAAAATCCACTAATTACGATTTGAACTGCTTGACCATCCGCGTTACTCACCAGATCTAGCCCTAAGTGATTTATTTCTGTTCCCTCAACCTAGAACTGGCTCGGAGGCCAAACATTTTCGTCAAATGAGGAGGCAATCATCTTCGTGAACAATTATTTTGTGGAGAAAAGCACTGGGTTCTATTTGGACGGGTTAGAGAGATCTAGACTATGTAGAAAAATAAAAAAAAGAGAAAAAATGTCTTGTATCTTGTCTTGTTTGGTCGGGAACAAGTGACCCTCGCCTTGTTCAGCCATTAATGACCAAAAATTTCATTAATGATACGTTTATTTAGTTTTTTCTAAGGACTCATTATTCTCGCAGTTACTTGCTGTTGATTGATTCTACCTGTTATATCGAATCTATGGCCGGTAGAAATTATGGCAACACTTTGGGTACATACCATAGTTGCAAGTAGAACTTCCTTGTCTAAGGGAACTACTGTGTAGTTGGCAGTTCTCCTAACCTGTTCGGAATAAGTGACTTTTATCATTCTGAAGTGCTGGAAAAAGTGATATTCCAAATATTTTATAAAAGCCCGGTATGCGAAAATTTGTGTTTGCTACTACATGGCAAAAGTCATATGTTACTTAATTCTGCATTGTGTTGTCTGCAAACATAGCATAAATTTATTTGTGTCTTCAAAAATTTACTTGAATAGGAGCATTGCTAAAGGTACTGAATCCCTTTCTGCCATATTAAAGAGAAACATAGATTAATTAGATCACAAGTTGCCACTACAATGTCAGCTGTAACTTTTGATTTTATTTGTTGGTAATACTCGTAGTGTCTAGAATATTGAAGGAATATATACAAAAGCGTACAAATTACAGAGCCTTCGTTATACCGTAGCCAAATCATACAATATTGTATTTTACTGTGGTTTTACGATTATCGACTCATAATTTACATTTTTTATTTATTTCTTTTGAACATATAATAATTTATAGGTGTGTTTAAGCAAAGCATTAAATTTTATTGGTAATAGCCAAAATCCATTGTTTCCATTAATGAATTGTAAAAACTAATTTTCTTGTGTTAATTGGTACTTTAGTTTTAATCTCGGTTTCGACATACGAGGCTGACAATGGGGACCAATGCTTTTTTGCTTTCTTCATCTTTTCAGAATCAATTTTAAGCAAGCAGGCAAGAACTTAACACTTTTATATATCTTATAATATTAATATATAATAATGAAGCCCTCGAAAATTTGACCGGTTTTTGTTGCTAATGCTAAAAAATTATTGCTGAGAAACACCATATGAAATTCTTTTGTTTCTTATGCTGGAAGATATGTTCCAAACGTTTGGAATTACTCAGGAATAAATAAGATCGTAGCATTTGCCTGCCGTAAGTAGCAAAAGTAATTCGGTGAGCTGGTGACTTGCGATTTCTTAACTTGTAACTGGAATTTTAAAATTACAGTTACGTTGTCTCAATTCTAATCTGAAGAACTAAGTCTTATATTTTCACGAAACTTCTTTGCACGTTGCTGATGCAATACCAAGGCATCAAGTGCAAAGCCTGCAAAGCACAAAGCTGCCCAAAATACCAGGCTCCAAATGGGAGAGCCATTTTTTTGTTCTTTTATTCGCCTCTGCTTTAAATGTGAAAATGAGTTAAGTTGACAGTATTTTATAATATTTCCATCGAAATGTCATAGCTTGAAGAAAAGTGTTTGAACGAAAAGTTTCCTGAACACATAATCTTGAATAGTGCCAAGACCAAACAGATGTCGGTGGTTAATGATTTAGAAATAAAAGTAAGATTAGTTTTAAAAATGTAGATTTCTGATTATCTACACTTTTTATATTCAAGAATTAAAAATATCATAAATGATATATTTTCAAAGAGCAAAATTTTATTTATTTAATAAATACTATCTTAATGTTCATGATATATCCAACATTTTTTAAATAAATTTTGCGATTTGCATTACTTTAGTAAATGTTCGTCATTCAAAAAAAATAATTTGTTTTTACTTATATTTTGCTTCTTAAACTATGTTTTCTTTGCAGGTTGGTTTTAATAGTCTGTGTATACATCGAGTACTACAGCGACACATGGAACTGCTCAAAAGGTGGAGACTACGTACGAATATACATAATTGGTAATTACGTTTTGCTAATTATTACTTAAAGTTCATTTGTTTATTGGAATTGGAACCAAATTTTAGTAACCACTGTTTTTAATATTTTCTATTGTTTTTTGCCAGTTTCGGAATCATATATATCCACAGTTTAGTACAATTCTTCTTCGAAATGGTGATAATTATACAGGGTATGTTAATGTTGGTTTGGTCGAACATCCTATTGAAGAATTTTTTTTTGAAATTGTGTGCGGCGGCGTCCGCAATTCATTTGATTGTAATTCAATAACTATAAAAGATAAAAATATGGTGATCTATATTAAAAATTGAACTGAGGTGGCTTTTACTTGCTGAAAATCCATTTATCAAAATAAATAAGGAGTAAAAGTTCAGATTTTCACGAAATTATATATTATGACATGACAATTGTTTCGACAACACCGTGTCTTTATCACATGTTGATAAAGACACGGTGCTGTTGAAACAATTGTCATGTCATAATATATAATTTCGTGAAAATCTGAACTCTTAGTTCTTATTTATTTTGACCTATATTATCAAAAAGTTATGAATTCTTAAAAAGCTCATAAATATAGGAGGTGTTACGTTACAAGAAAGCATTTTGTTTAATTATTTCCTTACGCTCTGTATGTTTTCAATTCTTATATTATATTCTGTACAATTCAGTAAAAAAAATAAACAATCAATTTAAATTTACATCTTATTACAAATTGCATCAGTGTATAAAAGACTTGTTTTAAAATATTTTAACCTTTAATTAACATTAATAGCTTCTATTTTATTATATATATATATATATATATATATATATATATATATATATATATATATATATATATATATATATATATATATATATTCATGAATGTCCTTTGTTTGTGTTACATAGTGCGAGCATGTAGAGACGATGGAAATAGAGAATTTTATTTTCTTTAAGAAGTAGGATAATGTAAATAATGTAAACATAACAAAAATACACAAGACTTTATTTTCGAAATGTGTGGTAAAGAAATCAAAATCTATAAAAATCATATTTAAATCCTGCTGTCAATGCCGTACTCTTTATATTTTGTTAGATGTTAATGATATTACAATTTAAAACAATATTGTGCGAAATACGTCCGGAAACACTTTTTTTTCTCTTGCTCTCTTCGTTCTGAGAAAATCCGCAACATTGCATAAAGTTATTCTTTTTTCAACTAGTTGTCCGCTCGTTGCAAAAAGGTTTTTTTCCTTAATTCAATGAACTCGCGTCTGTCTTTACTTAGACGACTGACCGGATTGAAGTCAGTCGTTAAGGTCGGACAATAAAAGCAATAACAACACCTAAGGCAAATCGACTTGCCAGGTCTAACGACTTACCAACCGAACCATACTCCATCACTTAGAAAAAATATTCTTTTTTTATTTAGTTGCACCAATTCCTATTTTTCGATTATTTAATTATTATTGCATTATATAAATCTTCAGCTCCATTAAGCAACATTTTTAAAATAATGTTTTAATTAAACAAAGTGGCACCAACAAGTTTTGGTTTTTTATGTGCGAATATTATGCAATAACTTCTGAATCTTTTTTAATTTTTGGGTACATTTTTAGATTTATTACTTCCTTCCGATAATTTCTACTAAATACTATTTAGAGCGGTGTTCGAAATATGAAAAATATCGAATATAAATATTTATATTATAGAAATATTCAATATAAATGATTGTCTAATGCAATTGGAAAAGAAGTTGTTGGAATTTGTAAATTAAAATATCATTTGCTAAATATTTATCTAAATAATATTATATTAATATTAATAAGTGCGCAACATATAAAAACTATTTTGAACTATTTTATTGAACGATTTAAGTTCTTGACGTTTGGTTTTATTGAAATCAAAATAAATGTGAAAAGTAACATTTCTATATTTTAGTAAAAATTATCATTTTCAAATGAACTTTGGTAAAAGTTATTCGATAAAAGTGTTCTTTTTAATAATTATCTTTCTTCATTGTCCCCTAGGATATAAATAAAAATAAAGTTGAACAAGGAATGAGAGGGATAAAAAATAAAGTACGGAATATTCAATTATGTGTCGCCTCTACCACTGAACAATATTTTGATATATTACTTTTTTTAATGTACCTAAACGTAAGTGGTAACAATGTTTTTCTAAATATACTCTCAATTTTTTTTCCCAAATTCATTTAAAAAAATCCCTCTTTCAAATTCCTGCTCTAAAATACCCATTATGAAGTGTGGCTTAAAGACGTTACTTACGACTGCGAGCCACTTCGGATCTTTCAGGTAATATATTAGCCAGGGCTGTGGTTTGTCAATTCTGATGGTCAAGGTACGCATATAGTATGCAACACCTTGTAAACTTCTTCAGTCACTCATTTATTAAGAACTCGCTCACTTAAGAAGCCATCAGGATGATTAGCGAAACTTCAGCTGGCTTTATTTATAAACAACCGATGCAGAACGGACCTACAAGATTTGTAAATAGCCTTCTGAAAAAAATGTTAATTTTGGCGAGTAACGAATGCCGCTCTCATCGCAGTTGCCTGTGTTCTTTTTAAAAAATCCATCCTTATTTTTATTAAAATTAAAATAGTAACTTCTTATTATTCCTCCTAAATATTCCAAATAACTAATATCGGACCATTTTAGACCAACAATAAACACACATAGCACAGCAATATGATGCCTCAGTTGGCCTCGTAAAAGAAAATATTTGAAAATGACATTAATTTCTAAATTAACAGTTTTTCTTAATTTGGTACAATAATTTATTGATCTGCAAGTAAGTCAACAGTCAAGAACTTAGAAAACAATTTAAAAAAATAATATTTAAATATTAGTATTTACTTTTTACAAAACTTCTGGATTCCTCCTGCATCGGAGTCGAACTTGCTGACGTTTCGCCATTCATCCTGCTGGCTTCTTCAGGGCTTGACTGAAACTGGATCGCATTTTACTCTGTGCCTGAGGGGGGCGGAGCTAAATGAGGGGCAGAAACACCGTCTCGGATGACCGATTCCCATGTTGGTGATAGGTTAAGACCAGAGTCACGGTTAAGATTGTTAGGTTATTTATAGATTTAGATAGATAGACGCTCGGATTTTTAATTGGTAGAAGAATTGATCACATGCAAGAATCATAGAAATCATCAATAGAAAATCACACCTAACATTGGGTCATTGTGTTTATAGAAAACCTACGCACACCGACCGATACCTTAATGCATGGTCACATCACCATCCGGTCCAAAAATCATCGCTTATCAACTCTCATGTTTACAGAGCCGTAAAACTATCTCAGCTCGAGTCACTGAACATGGAATTAAAACAACTTACCTCTGCTCTTCTCTCTATTAATTTCCACATTAAAGATATTAAGCGTTGGAAAAAAAATACACTTCACCAATAGCAATGAGGTCGAAAGCAACCCTGCACTTGCCACTGTGGTCCTTCCCTACATTCAAAATATCACTGACCACATATTAAAAGTAAAGAAGTAGAACGTAAAAACCAGATTTACCACTTGTCCAAAAATCTCTCAACATGTTCGATCAGTCAAAGACAAAATTCCATTTGAGATGCCAGGAGTTTACAGCATTCCATGCATATGCGGCCAACAATACATTGGAGAAACCGGACGCAAAGTATCAACTAGACTCAAAGAACATGTAAGAGCCTTAAGACTAAGACAAATAAACTCATCAGCAGTTGCCGAACACAATTGCGAAACCGGATATAACAAACATTAGTTATATAAACTTTGCGTACGCTTACATTAACATGACCCAATCATCACGTGCTTTCTAAGCGAATCAATTGCGATTCTAAGCTTCAAAAGTAACATACATATAAACCTCTTTACATCGGTGCTCACTCATATTACAACGTTTAAATAGTAAATTCAAAGTGTTCCGGTGTTGACCCTAGTCAAGGTAAATGGTAAGGCCTAGGCCATATTCAACTTCGCGCAAACAGTTTTCCAGGAATTAAATTATATGCCCACATTTGACGCCTTTTGAAGGTAAAAGCAATAACACCAACAAATCTTAATTATCTGGGGCATTAATATTCATCGCTTGTATGTAAGTGTTTAAGTTTGTCGATACGAGTTTCTTGAAAGCTGTGCACTTTGTCGTGTCGAGAACTCGGATGGTCAAGGGCTAGTTCCTGGTTCTCTTTCCCTCCCATTAACGCTTAATCATCCTTCGTGCTCTACGGAACACTTGAGAAACAATTTTTTACGACTAGACACGGTAAAAAATCTACTTTATCATTCCCAATATTTTTAAAATTCCACTTTAATACATTATTTAAATAATAATAAAATAATATAAGTAAATATATCGGGTCTCCCAGCAAGTATGGTATTACAGAAACGGAATATCCCGGTGTTGAAATTAATTCAGCGTTTTGATAACAGATGGCGCTAGTGATCTATTTCTTTACCTACAGGAGTAGTTGCACTTGAAAGCACCTGTTATTTGATGTCATATTCTGTACTTCTTTTTTTTTTTCAAAACGTAAACAACAATTTGTGATTTTTTTCATACGTCGAAATTTTGTGCCAAATAAAGTATTTTTGGAGCAATTTTGCTCCATTATTTTAAAATGGGTGCTGCAGAAAGTCATCGTATTTTGGTAGATGAAGTAGATGAAGAAAATGTACTAGTTGAGCAAACTTGTAGAAAATAGTTTGCACATTTTAAAAGTGGTGATTTTGATTTTGAAGGCAGGACAGCCCAAAAAAAATCGAAGATGAACTTCACTAGAAGTTGAGCTTTCGACCGTGGAAAAACGTATAAAAAAATTAGGGATGATTCACCAGGAGAGATGTTGGGTTCTATATAACTTAAAGCCAATTGATATTGAAACGCGAGAAAAAGAGAAGGATTTCTGCATAGGATTGTGACGGGACGAAAGTGGATTTATTATGACAATCCTAAACGACGAAAGTCTTGGGTAAAGCCTGGTGAACCATCAACATGAGTG